ACGAAAAGCGGCTTCACGCCACCGGCCGAGTGCCCATCTTTCGCTGTCGATGGCCCTCCTGTACGGCAAACTTTAGCTCGCGGTACAGGAACAATGCAATCATTCACGTGCGCACCTTGCACCTTGGCGTACCTCCCGAGAGCAATGGCTGCCCGAAGAGAGAAATGGCCAAGAGTTACGTCGTCAAGGTGTGAAGAGATTGACAAGCGAGGATCAAGAATCAAATGCCCAATTACTTTCTCTCGTTTTAGTATCACTGTTTTCACTCATTTATCTACTGCCAATTCTCCATTCTGTTCTATTTCCTTTTTCCATTCTTTTGACCTGAACTCATCTGATCCTATACTTTCATTCTTCTTTTCATTTCGACATTCAAACTGTGACTGAATTTTTCAATACCATTGACTGGCTAAAAAGGTTTCAACTTCAATAAAAAGCTTTAATTGTTAGCAAAGACACGTTCGCAAAGCGGCAAAATCGAACTTCTTAACAAGAATGACGATTGAAGGTGAATACAACACGTTGCAAATCGTTTGACAAGTCATACTTGTGTGTTGCCAGTCGTTTAGTTCACACCGTTTCGCCACTTCCAAAGCTCAACTTTCTAACTTTGTGACAGCGAAAAAGAATCCGCGACTAGCATCGGCTAGCTAGTGCATCAACAGCAATGCCTCAGGAAAAGTCGACCAGTGCGAAGAAGAAGAAACAGGCGGAACAGGCAAAATCGTCGAAGAAGAAGGCGGCCGCAGCGGTTGCCAGCTCTCCCAAGTCGGGCACTCCGAAGAGCACAAAGAGCTCTAAGAAACCCGTTGCCAGCAAGGCGACCAACGGCAACGGCTCCTCCAAACATGGAACTCCCAAGTCGGTGAAGGGCAAACCACCGAAGGCGTCCAGTACTGCCACCAGCTCGCCCACGCAGAGCACCGTCACTAACAAAACTTCCACCAAAGGAGGTCAAGGCGGTGGAAGCAAGAAAACCACCGAAAAGAGCAAGTCAGCAAAAAAGAAGGCGCCCGTTCAGGTGGCTCAGAAGGCGGCCAAGCCCACTCCGCCACCTCCTCCTCCTCCACCGCCCAAAAAGAAGAAGAAGAAGGTCGTCCCTCAGGTGGTCGTCAAGGAGGAGGACAGTGATGAGGAGGAGGAGGAGAAGGAGGAGGTGGAGAAGAAGGAGNAGAAGAAGAAGAAGGTCGTCCCTCAGGTGGTCGTCAAGGAGGAGGACAGTGATGAGGAGGAGGAGGAGAAGGAGGAGGTGGAGAAGAAGGAGGAAGAGGACCAGCAGGAGGGCAATGAGGTGCACCTTCCGCCGCCCTCTGCCCTGGCCAGCGGGGGCAGCTCCGAGGAGGCGCTCCCTGCAGTGCCCACCTCCACTTCGCCCACTGCCTCAGCTGTTAAGAAGGGCAAGAAGCCACCGGCAAAGAAGGCGGCGGCGGCGAGCAAGGCTCCGGCTAAGAAGACGCCTAAAAAGAAGCAGAAGAAGGTTGCTGCTGCCAAGCCGAGTGCTGCTGTTGCAACCGCCTCTTCGGCCGCCTCCTCCGATGACGGAGAAGAGGAGGAGGAAGGAGAAGGAGGAGAGGAAGAGGGCGGAAAGGGTGGTAGTGCCGCTAAGGCCTCAGAGGTTGCTGCTCAGGGTAAGTCAGCCTCCAAAGCAGAGGACGATGAACCACCGCCACCGTCAGGTAGTTCGGCGGCCAATAACAACAGCAGCAGTGCTGCTGCTGCTGAGCCGGTCCGCCCACCACAACCACCACCACCACCACCACCTCCCCCGCCCCCTTCGCCATCTTCAAGCTCAGATAAGCCAATCGAAGAGGTTCCTGGTGGTCCAGACTCTACACATGAGTCGGAATCAGGTCAGCCCTGCCCACCTAGTGAGACACGGCCTAGCCAGAAGTCGAGCAGTGGCATGGAGAAGGAGAAAGTGGAAGAGGAAGAGGACGAGGAGTTCACCAAACCGACCATCAATCAGATGAAGAAGGTCGACAAGGTGGAGAAGCCGCTCAGTCTCTCGGAGAAGATCAGCAAGCTGGAGTTTGAGTCGCTGAACGACGAGGTACAGTACTGCTTTACTAATTTGAACTGAAAACAAAAGATTTAACACCTACCTTAGATCGCCGAGCTGAACCAGGGCGTGGCCATGTTAAAACACTCCTACGGGAGCATCATTAAGTCGCTGGTGGCGATGCAGAACCGCCGATCGAAGAAGAAGGCCGCCAAAGAGGCTGCGGCTGCCGCTGCTGCCGGTGGTGAGGCAAAGTCTGGTCGAGGGGGCGAGTGCAAGCCCACCTTCCTCACCACCGTCTCCACGATGGACGCCTGCAAGCTGGCCTCGCCCAGCTGTCTGGTGATGAAGGACAAGTACGACATTGAGCGTTTCGTCAATCCGCTCACTCGCGAGGAGACCTTCCAGCTGCTCTTTGATGAGGTAAGGCTGCTTTGTTGTTGTTGTTGTTGTTGTTGTACCAATTCACAACAAACAAATCATCTGACTCACCCAACTGTCCTCTTCACACCAGATTGAGCAGCTGAACAAGCTGACGGAGCCCTTTCGCACTCGATTCTTTGACGTCAAGGGCAACTTCTTGCGTCCCAAGTTTGAAGCGCAGACGGAGGTCAAGATGAACCGCACGCTCTTCAATGAGTACAAAGTTTGGGTAAGTTGAAGTTTGGGTACGTTGGGGTTTACTTTGAAACTAAATAACCGTTTCAAACACCCACACCTCAAAAACAGACCAAGAAGCTGATGTCTGTGGTGGACGACATCGCTCGCAACTACAACGACGACCTGCTCAACATGTTCCGTCTGAACTGAGCAGTGGGGGACAAGGCCACAACTGCCGTCGTCACTGGGCGGCCACACTTCTTCTCCTCTCATCTCTTCACCGGTTGCCGCCGCCCCTTTTGGCCTGCATCAAATTTTCCAAACGTTATCATATTTGTATTATATTAACTTTTGGNAGAGCTAGTAGTCTACTTTCTGCGAAAATGTGAGGCGCCACCAGCGCAGACGATTTTGGCAATTTTTGGCAGAAGTTGGCGCAATCAATACCAGGTGAAGGAGAAGGAGATGGCACACACATCACTGCAAAACGCGCGGCGTCTGNGTGGTGCTTTTCCCATAATTTATTATTGAAAGTAATAATATCATAGTGGTTGTTGCTTACAAGTTGGAGGGAAAATTGTACAGGAGAAGAAGAAGGAGAGGAAGGGGAGCAAGAGAGAGAGACAGTGAAAGTCTTCGCTGTTTTTTACTTTAGAATTTTGATTACAATTCGAACTGATTATTTGTATAAAACAAAGTTTATATACAATAAAATTTAAAATTAAAACAATAATACTTTAACTAACAATCATGAGTTCAACTGTCAATTTGTATTTTTTTGCAAAAAAAATCTCAACTAAAAGAGCAAGTGCTGCAGGCAGGCGGAATCGCGGCACCGATTTTTGAAGAAATTGTTGATAAAATTTTTGCTGATATGTGCAAATGGGTCAACAATGAGATGTTAGACTACGATGATGAAGATGATGAGGATCTGGTAGATGACCAGTCAACAGCTACGCCTGTGCCCACCACTTTTCCAAAGCGAATGGCCGAAGAAGAAGAAGAAGAAGGCAACAGCAAGCAGTTCAACAAAAGAAAAGCAGTGATTGTAGAACATGAGATTGACGATCTACTTGATGATGCTGGTGGTGACATTGAACTAGGTAACAGCACACCTAGCGTTAATTCTATCACTAGCACTTTCAACTCAGAACCACAACTGGACGACTCGGAAAATTTTAAACTTGAATTTGCCTGCATTTTCCCTAGCTGCACTGCTTCATATGCTAGACGTGACAATGCTGCCCGTCACGTCAAAACAAGGCATCTAAAAGATGAAGCATTAAAAATGAAAGACAAAAGAGCTATTAACGACCTTGTAAAAAAATACATTAAGCACAACAAAAGTTAAAAAATAATTAGTTCAATTTACTTCTGTTTATCATTGTTGTATTGTTCTAAACAAAATAAACTTGTATTTAAACAAACTTTTTTCATGTAACTAATTTCTTTTTGTGACGTAAAAATTATGGACCCCATTTACATTCCAGCTGAAGCTACTTCAGATAAAACGCTTATTCTCTGCGAAGGAACATCTGCACTCAGTTTCATCCGTGGTCTCCTACAAGTGCTTGGTCGTACCTATGGGGCTCTGGCGCTGGGCGGAGTTTTTCCTAACTACCGATCAACGTCAAGCAAAGGAGGAAAAGCGCAAACAGCTCTCATCACTGCTCTTGGGCTTGACTTTAAGCGCCAGTACCAATCAGTAAAGAAAAGAAACAAGCTCAATTACAAACACGTGCTACTTGCCTTTGATGCAGATCACAGCGGCACTAGAAATGCTGGTCTTGTGATCAGCATGCTCGCACTTCACTGGCCAGCTTTGATGACTAATGGATTTGTGTCCTTTCTGAGTACCCCCACCGTGGACTCAGACACTGGCACAAAAACTCTAAGTCTCGGATCAATTTCTTTAGTTGATGCTCCACATTTTTACGAAGAAGTAAAAACTGGCCACCATCGCGTTGCAGTGGATTACGACTACAAACGCGATGAACTAGAGCTTGAAAAAGCGTTTTGTAAAAATGACAAGTGGTCCGACGAAAGAAAAAGTTGGCTGCAGAATGAGCTGCTCAAACGAAAAGAACGACAAGAATCAGGTGATCAAGTACCAGTTGTGGACATCAAACCAACTCACATCTCAGTCCAAAATTTCATTCAAACTGACCTCCTGAGCTGCTTCATTGAACAAATCGACAAAAGAATTCCTTCCTTGATGGATGGGCAAACGATCGTCCGGCAAAAAGTGCTCTTTGCAAGCTTCCACAAAAAAGCACCAAAAGTGCTCAGTGTGCCTGCACTTTCCGGATGGGTGGACGTAGTTTGCTCTTACCCGCACGCTGAAAAGCGCCTCAACGATGCTATCATTGCAATGGCAGATCCAAACAGCAACAACATCCAGCTGATGCTGCCAATCGGTGACGCCGGCAATGCAACTGTGCACTACATTAAGGCGAGATTGTCTCCACTTGCGCGCTGCCTTTTTCCGCCAGAGTTTGACGACTTTTCAGTGCAGCAGCACCTCAGTGGAGACCGCACCCAGCCAGATTTTTATCTGCCAATACTACCGATGGTACTGGTGAATGGTGCCTTTGGATTGGCACCTGGCTGGCAGTGCAAAATCAAACAGCACAGTCCACGTGTGATAATTGAAAAAACCAAAAGCAGAATAAGCGGCAATGATGATTTGCTGAAGCTTACGCCATGGCTTAAGGGCACTGCCATGAGTGAAGACGGGCAAGTTTTTGCAGTGAAAATGCCAAATGGGACGGTGCAAACTTTTGTTTCTGCTGAGGCGCTGTACGATGCCTGGTACGAAACGAGATTGAGTTTTCTTTGCATTGATTCTACTGAACAAAAAGTAAAAGAAAAATGGCTTGAGCAGCTGGATGCGCTCGAGTCAAAGTTACACGACAAAAAGCAGAAGCACCAGCAGCAAGACAATGAGCAGCACCATCAGCAAGACGATGAGCACCAGCAGCAGCAATTGAGAAACCCAAATGTGGTGCTTTTCCCATAATTTATTATTGAAAGTAATAATATCATAGTGGTTGTTGCTTACAAGTTGGAGGGAAAATTGTACAGGAGAAGAAGGAGATGAAGGGGAGCAAGAGAGAGACAGTGAAAGTGGATAAGAACAAAAAGAAAAAAATAGTTGTAAGAAAAATAAAAATTGTAAAATATGGGCGTAATAAGATTTGGCTTCTTTCAGCGCAAGGAAGAGAGAAAGAAAAGGAGAGGGCGAGGGCGAGGGCATGCTGCACAGTTGCAACTTCGTGCGTCGGTGTTCCAGAGTGACAGGAGTGGAAAGGTCAAATGGTAGCAAAATGAGAAGAGAAGAGAAGACAAGAAAAGAGAAAAAAAGACAAGAAAAGACAAGAAGAAGAAGAAGAAATACCCTTCTTAACCGGATCCAAAAGTGGGTGAGTGTTGGGTTGTGTGTGGTTGGTGGCTTGGCTGCTGCTGCTGCTGCTGCAGATGACCAGAGCAGCATTGGTAATGTGTCCGTACAGATTGGTTTGTGTGTTTGGGTTACACTAAAGTGTGTTTGCATAAAATGTGGTGAAGCAGACAAGTGTGTGTTTAGAGGGTAGATAGATGAAGGGACAGGGTTGCTAAAAAGAAAGAGTGAAATGAAGAAGAGTCGTTGTGGACAGTGTCGTCAGAAGAGGTGAGGGCTCAGAGCAGTTTTGATTTGGTTGACACAGCTCCCGTGTATTGCCTTTTATTGCTACTGGGCTCAGAGACTGATCTCATCATCACCGACTACTGACCACGGCGTTGCTGCTGCTGGCGGTAACTTTCAATGGTAAAGCTGTGCGAATGTGAAAGACCCGACTTGGGCGAATTTTGCTGACCATCATCACCAACGGTGGTAGTAGTGGTGGCTATGATGGCAGAGGACAGTGGCTCGGCACTGGCGCTCACAGTGGAGAAGTGAGTGGAAGGAAGGAAGATCTGACTGATGGCCTTCTTCGTCAGCAGTGAACCACTCTGGAAGGAGGTGGAAGCGGAAGTGGATGGCTGAGAGAGCATCTGCATCTGCAGCTGCTGCAGCTTCTCACTGCTGCTGCTGGTATCACAATCGAGGTAGACGCTGTCGGCCTTGTCCAATTCGGCCTGACTCGGTGGTGAATTCGTGCACACCACTTGCTCCAGACTGTCAGCAGCATCACAGACTGCTCCTGCTGCTGGACTACTGTCCTCTTCACCAGCTCCAACTTCCTCCACTGAAGCTTCCTTCTGGAGAACAAGCTCAGTCGGAGCAGCAGCAGAAGCAGCAGCAGCAACCACACGCAATGGCGCCATTACAACCGCTGCAGCCGCCGCCGAGGACGCATTGACAGACAGATTGGGGCAGATGGGCTTGTGGCTCTTGTGACAGTAGCGACAGTAGTTGCTCGCCAGGTACTCCAGCGATCGAGATTCGTACTTGCCCAGAACTGAGCTGCTGCCAGAGCATTGCTGCTGGTGGAGGTGGTGGTGATGGTGGTGAGGTACACCCGAAGAAGTGGTTGCCATGTCCACAACAGTGTTGTTGTTGTTGTTGTTCAACATTGCATTCCGCGACGGCACTTGTTTGCCAGAGCTGCTGGCAATGGTCTGCGTCGCCTTGTCCTTCTCCTCCTTGGCCTGCCCTCCCCCTTCGGCGCAAATATTGACATGCACCTCAACGGGCGAGAGGGAACAGTTGGGATTGGACTGTTGGTGCTGACTAGAGGAGGAGCCACCCGAGGAGACATCACCACCACACTTAATGGAGCCGGTGTGCACCTTCAGACTGGCGCCATCATCGGCGTGGCTCTCACCGGCGGAGGAGATGTTTGTGTTGATGGAGCGGTGGTCGCCAAAGCTGAGCGTCACCGAGGAGGCGTCCGCATTAGCACTGCTGAAGCTGAAGCGCTTGTTCGAGATGACATCAGCNGTCCGCATTGGCACTGCTGAAGCTGAAGCGCTTGTTCGAGATGACGTCGGCCTGCGTCTCCAGCTGCTGCTGCGACTTTCCAACAGAGTGTCCGCCGCCACGTCCACCATGGGAACTGGCATTGGCAGCCGCAACGGCAGCAGCAGCTGCACTGTGACTGTGGATGAGATTGCTGCTGGTGATGCTGCCGGCACAGGCGGCAATGGACGAGCTCTCCCGATCCGGCTGAATGTCCAGGCCAATGACTCGGTCCAGGTGGCTGCTGGAGCCAATGCTCAGACTGGTA